ACACGTACTGACATATATAACATATGCTGTTCATTCAATACTAAATGCTTCACATTGGTACCAAGGACATGTAATAGCATATCAGGTGTGAACGAGTACAAACACAGTAAGCATGCGACGACTAACCCACTAATGATGAATGGGTTCCCGCCAGTGTTACTATTTATAGCCCGAGGTGACGTGACCTGTCAGCCACTGTTTGATGAGATGTGGTATACAGCTTTTACACAATCATCAATAGCATACCAATATTTCTGTAGCATCATAGTTGATACAGTAGTGATATATCAATTCACAATTTAACGTATACGGACGATTACGCATTCGCTTACTCAATTGTTACCAGACGGTAGCGACGACCACACGAAAATACATATGACAGTATCATTGAAGACAATGATTTCTTTTTGTGAGACCAGGACAGTGCTGCAGGACGTAGTTCTACGCAGCTATGAATCGAAATCTATATGACAGACAGCAATGCTTAATGAATAAAAATGATGATTCGTTGCTATGAACATAATATGCATATATGCTTATCTTTTTCTGAGTCACAAACCTTTGACATTGTTTTATTATCATTTACATTTCATTAGTGTTGAATTACAAAAACGTCAATCGAATTTGCACTTCAAAACAATATTTTGGTCAATATTATTCACGAATCTCGAGAAAAATATTTCAGACTGACACTTACTATTATGGATTAGCATATTAACTATTTCCTGTAGATGTCTGGGGGATCTGATCGTATGCAGCTGTATCTCACCATTAGCTGTTTTGGTAGCGACAAACAGTGTGTTGACATGTTCATCAATTATTAAAATAATAACTGCAAACGTCATGTGTCATTAGATCAAGGTTTAAATAATAAAATAACTTTTCTGTAGATATAGCTTCTGCGTTACATAAAACATATATCCAAGAAATGACCTGCAGACTTTGTCTTTGACTGTCCATAGAACGAAGAATAACCCTGAAATACGCTCAATGACATGTCGTATTTAACTGACATTATTGACTTTAATGTCTTGGTTTTTTCTTTCCCTTTTACCCCTATCTTACTTCCTGGTGCCACAATAACATCTTGTGATATCGTATATCAAACTGTTATAAAAAATAAACTAGTCCATATCGGTCCTTCGTTATGCAAAACTTATATCACGAATTTACCTGCAAAAGAGAATGGACTATGTCTTTGATTGTATGTAGGAAGAAGAATAGGTCTGACGTACACTCCTTGAACTGACATAATTGACTTTAATTTCTTTTTTTTTCTCTTTCTCGTATACTCCATCTTAATTCCTAGTGCCACAATGACATCTTGTGATTTCGAACATTAAAATGTTATAAAGCTTAAACTAGCACTATTCCTGTGTTAGAAACAAGGTTTTAAACTAAACTTCTTAACTAAGGACCGGATACGTAACAATACCCATATACTCATAAGAATGCAAGGCTAAAATTTACGACATTCAAATATGTAAATATAGAAAATCATTCATGGAAATCAAAGTAAAACAATAAGAACTAAGTGGCAAAAAAAACCCAAAAAACCCCCCAAAAAACCCAAAAAACAAAAAAAAAGTAAATAAATAAACGTCCACTACCACAGAAAGCCTAAGGCAGACCCTGGTTGTCAAGTAATGAAAACGTTACCGAACCATATATGGCAACTCTCCGGATATAACCTGTTATCCTGATAGAATAATAATAACCCCTGTGAAATCGTGATAGGTACAGGATATCTTTCAACAAAATTCTGTGAGGTATAGGTTATTTCCCTTGCAATCCTGATAGGTACAAGTTATCTCCCTTGCAATCCTGAGAGGTACAGGATATCTTATGAGAAATGTTGATAGGTACAGAATATCTCCCTAGGTATCCTAAAAGGTACAGGTTCTATCCCGTGAAATCATGATAGGTTCATGGGATCTCCCCTGAACTCCTGAGAAGTACCAGATAGTTCTCGTGAAATCGTGATAGGTACAGGTTACCCCCGTAAAATAGGAACAGGTACAGGTTATCTCCCGTAAAATAGGATTAGGTTCAGGATATTTCCCGTAAAATCGTGATAGGGACAGGATATTTCCCGTGAACTCGGAACAGATATCGGATATCTGCCGTGGAATCGTGAAAAAATAGGGAATTCTCGAGTGAAATCCAGATAGGTAAAGGATATCTCCCGCGAAATTGTGATAGAAATAGGTTTTTTCCTGTTAAAAATTCTAAAAGATACATGATAACTCTTGTTGATTCCTAATAGATACTGTTGTACTTCTTCAACATCCGCGCTGTCTCTCTTGACATTATGATAGGTATAGGTTATCTCCCTTGAAATCATGTTAGGTACTAATCTACGTTATAAGAAGCACGAACAACTTTGACAATAATTTTGATTTATCATGCTTATATGGTGCTATGGGTGATACGATGTCAAGGTCATGGCGGTAAACCGCAGTACACGTCACAGCATGTCACTAATCTCCTGCTAGCATTGTCTGTGGGTAAGTTACTAATAATAACTAGCATACTGCATTGGAATGTCATTGGAGTGGTAGATATTTTAAGAGTAACAAAAAGTGTCGGTCCGTTATCAACAACAACTCAATCATCTTATATGTGATACATCACGTTGAGGTTTTTTTAAACGATGATGTATGTGTGTCATGTCATTACAGTATTGAAAAATCTATAATTAATTCAGTAAGAAAAAACACAAACTAAACGAAAGGTAAATTATTTAAAAAAAAATGTTTCAAAAGCCACATCCTTCAATCTAGAAAGAGTTTAAATGCCTGTACTCGAGATTTAAGTAATTTCACGACGGCATAATGCCGTTGGTCTTATTCCCTTAAATTGGGTTCAACATAAAAAAAAAACATTTTGTTACTTCTAGGCATACCCAACCCCACTTATATCAAGTCTCCGAGTTGGTATTCATTGATCTTCCTAAAATATTGTTCATATCACTATTTTAATGAAAACTGCATTAATTTTCACTGATTTCGTTAAAAAATAATCATGCACTACATTTTATTTCAAATGTTCAGCAGTGTTAATGGTCTGTTGACGAAGGGTAACGATGGTGACATCATCTCTTGGTGACGTCAACAACAAACGTATTGTTGATATTATATCAAATCATATCTACTCCTGATACTAAAAAGATCAACAAATTAGAACAACAGATGACGTCAAAACGACTTTAAATGTAGTTTCTTTCTAATAATAATAATAAATAGAATAATGGATGGTTTAAACGTCGATATGACGTATAGCTGTTCTCCCTTTCCCCCACACAAACCACCCCTGTGTGACCCATCGTCAATCTCTGTGACCTCTATCCCTACTCTTACTGCTCATCGCCCCCTTAATCTCTTCAATCACTCAGACTTCCTCTAATACTCGACGGGTGTTACTTGTATCCCTTTGACTTGTCAAAATCATAACTCGTATCTTATCTTATAAAGTGGATTTCAAGTTGTTGGAGAGGTAAATCAAATTGATACCCGAGTTATGCGAAGTAACAAATGATTCATTTGAGGTCAGGCGGGGGACAAGCGACATAGCTCTGTTACACAAGACGGTGTGATATATCTACACTTAGGGTAAATCACCATTATGGTTGTTTATCTGGCCATTATTCAGTAAAATAACGAATGCACATAAATTTTCAATATATAACAAATGTAATAAAATGCACTCATATGTCTAAATGAATAATGAGATGACGTTTAAAATGCACGATCAAATGCAAAAGTGAAAGACTTCACCTTTGAGTCACAAAAAGATTTTGTGGCAAAAAGTGCTACTTAGTATATATAATGCTTATTTTTTCATATTATTTTAACGCATATTTTGATATAAATAATCTCAAAATGACCACGCTGATTTTAAGATCTTTGCATACAAATCCCTGTAATGGATACTCATGTGAGATCCTTTATTTTCTACCGTATGTAATCAAATTAGAATCACAAACGTGAAATGAATAAGCAAACATTACATACCTCACCTTACATATGTGAATACATTTAATTGAAATTAAGACCAACCTTTAAATGCAATACGTACAAGTGAAGAACGCCAAGATATAATTTTTAAAAAAAAATCATGAAGTTTATTTCGATATTTATCAGCATATATTTATGTCATTTACAAAATGTACCACACAGCTGTTTTTTGCTATGGCTCTGTTTTCTGGTAAAAAACATACTTTATCGTTACATCTATCGAAGATGTCAAATTTCTTGATTAACACTTGATGGTAGTTTTGTTTTGTTTCAACCTTTTGATCTGCTGGCACGCTACATTATGTAAACACTGTAGTTTGACAACATTTAAGGAAATGCTATATAACAAGCTTCAAACCATTAACTTACTTTCACTAGTTTCAATTTCGTATATGAACTAATTGAACGATAAAATTAATTTTAAAATTAATTTTACTTGTCATGTTGGTAAACACTGAATGTTGTGCAGACTGCACAATGCATTTTTATAGACAGTAGAAACATATACATAATACCTATACCATAGATTAAAATAAAGTAAAAAAAGCATGCCACATGGTCAATATGCGATTTGTATGGGTATAAAGAGAATATAATACATCTCCAGCACACACGCAGACATACACATAGGGAGATAATAGCCAGTTGGCATAGGACTAGTAGTTAGCGCCTGATAAGGCAGCTCCTGTGATTTCCTCGAAATTGTATTGATTAATGTATATGCTAATTGTATTGATTATATAAATGGTAAATCTATGTACTGTAAAGCGCTTTAGAGCGCCTATTCGAGCTAGAAAGGGCGCTTTATCAATTGTTGTGTATTGTTAGTATTTATTTATGTACACGTATTGTTCTTATAAAGCTAAATATTAAAATCGTAGAAGATATTACAGCATGATCATACAATGGCTTGCTGACACTCGCTTCAAGAGTACCACGTGTGTACTGATTGGCAGATATGAAGCAAACGTGAAATAGACTTACCTGTCTGTGGATTAATTCTTGTCAAATGTTGTAACCTGTGCTTACACTGCAACTATATAGTCACTCCCTCTGTAACTTCATGTAGATGAAAGAGTTGCTAACAAAACAACTGTCACTTTAGCAGGGACATCTCAGATAGGAGGTGTTGTAACGGAATGCTGAAATAAACATGCACTTGTATTGGTTACTGTTCCAAGTTCAGCGTATTACTTGCTTAGTTGCGCTTTTATTTGCCACTGTTCCAGATTAAGCGTAGAATTTGTTGTCTAATTGCACTTTTGTTGTTCACTGTTCCAGGTTAAGAGTATCATTTGTTGTCTAGTTGCACTTTAATTGGTCATTGTTTCAGCATCAGCGTAGAATTTGTTGTATAGGCGCACATTTTATTGAGTTAAAATGGCAAAAAGAACAGTATTGGTTATGTATGTCATTTTACAAATCCCGTTATGCCCAAACAAATATTGTGTTGATAAATCCCTTACCAAAGCACAGTGTAGAATACACGAACAGATCTTCCTCCTAAGTGCCCTACTCTCGAACATTTCGAACGTTTAAAGAATCTATCAAGACACCTTTCATAAGACCCCCATCTATTCAGCTTTGATTTTACAGGTGATTGTCTGTTTTTAGCACTAATTTACATGTGTTTAAAGGTGAAAAATTACCGCAACACTTCCACATCTATGTAAATAAACGCAAGTATGTCGTAATAAGTTACATGTACATACCTTAAAATACACTAACATCGACATGGCCGCTTGTCAAACTCATCTCGGCCCCAAGGTGATAAATCGCTTTACCTGCCCTTTATTAAATCTATACAAGACACCTGAGCAACAGTTGTCGGCTGGCCTCAGTTATACTTCACCGCGACCTAAGTTATAAAGGTGGAAATTACTACAAACGTCACTACAGCTTCCATTTGAAGCTAGAAATATTATAACTGAAATCCCCATTTCTCTTATGAAGATATTTAATCGCAAAATGTCTTGGTGTATTTTATTTAAAATTATGCAAATGACATTTTCAATTTGATTTTAAGCCTGTACAAGTTGCAATATGTCATTATGAAACTATCACTACACAAGAAAAGGACTCGGCGTTTTATGTCATCCGTACAATGGAGATCTACCTGTACTATTTTTATGAACATCTGCTTTAAAAAAAACTTCGAATAGAACATCTAATGATACAAGTTAATACGTTTCTTGAGCCCAGACATAGATATGTCGAGTTCGTTCTGGGTTTTTTAGCGGTGTATCTCTGATACAGCAGCTTTGCTGATGGCTTGTTAAGAGTGACAGGTCACAAAGGATTATTGACATGTAAAACAACTGTTTCTCGAAAGTGTCAAAGTGTCATCTGGTCATGCTGTAGATATTATTCAGCTATTGTAATGCAGACGTTGCTAAGCCACACCTCCTGTCGCTCTGGGTGTTGATGTTGTTTGTATAGGTGTGGTATATCATTTTAAGATGAGATATTCATTATCAAGATTCTTCAATAATGAAGGATAATGATATCGACTACAACTTACTGAATGATATGTAGAGTCTCCAACCGTCCTGTTAATGCATTTATAGTTATAGGTATAGTTATTTAGTCCTTGAATGTTTCATACGATACAATAACAGTGATGTAGATGTAAAATATACTCCATTTTTCTGATACAATATACATGTACATAATTATATAGTGTGAATGGCATGTAGGGAAGTCTTTTTTCGTCTTCCACAAAACATCAATAATGAAAGATATGTAGGATAGTCTGTTTGCTTGTTTGTTTGTGTTTAACAAACAAACAAACTTTCCTACATATCTTTCATTATTAATGTTTTGTGTAAGACGATAAATGTAGGTTAGTACACATTGAGTGACACACACCATTCATATATAGAGAGAATGGTCTCCAATCGCCTAACACTATAATATATACCTATATGTATTAGTACACTAGTCTCTAATACCCTTATAATATAAATGTATACAGTTTAGCCTCAATCGTCTATGCTTATAGTGAAATATATAAAGGGGAATGATACACGTGGATAGTGTCTTATCAGCTGATAAAAGACGCTAAAATCAACCTTATAAATATTTTTCATTTTTTTTCATTTTTTTTTTTTTTTTTAATTTTCAAGCATTTTCAAATATATGTTACATAGCATATGAATGAACACACACGCACCACTCATTCATTCATCATCATCATTTCATAAATATCATCATCATCATTACACTACTTCATCATCATTCCATAAGTATCATCATCATCATCATCATCATCATCTTTATTACACTATTCCATCATCATCATCATCATCATCATCATCATCATCATCATCATCATCATCATCATCATCGTTTCTTAATTATTATCATCATCATCATAATTTCACTACTTCATCATCATCATCATCTTCATCCTCTTCACACCATTATAACATCATCTCACCTTTCATCATCATTATAATTAACTCATAATTGAGGATAACCTTGTTTTAATTGTACCAGAACGAATATCTGAAATCATTTACAATCAAATTGAAATGAGACTGTCATCGAATGTGATTTTAGAATCTCTCTTTATCCTTTAGTGTGTCTCTATGAAATATTTAACCTCTATATTGATTGATACAATAAAAATAAAATAAATGCTCATATTATTCATCAACCAGCATCTTTTGAAACCCTGTGTTGTAAATGTTTTATCATCAGCAATAGACATACTGTAGTTCACGGAATTCATGATATTTGGAGAAAACTCTTGAGTACCGTGTCATCTGCGACATGAAAGCATCATATGTAGGAGAAACAGGAATACAGACATCATGCTTAATATGCTTAATGCAATTACGTTTTGATTGCTATGCAAAACCAAGGAATTAGATATAAAAGTCCGTGGTAAAACCATGCCTTTTAAAAACATTTATAAATTTAAGAAAAATAATCGTAAACTAATACTGCGATTTGCCAGCACGTGTGTCGGTGATGCTCTTGAGAGTACGTTTGTAATCATATTGTTTCTTGACCTTTCCTGTTTCCTGTGATGGAACCTTAGCGCCCATCTTGTGCGGGTTATAACGTCAAAGAATGACAATTAAAACTAGACATATACACATGAGTTGTGTTTTCGGTCAACTAATTTATTTCATGGCGAAACCCATCAGTAGCACAGGTAGGTCTGATTCTGTAATTTTAAGCGTGGGAGGAGGAGATAATTTAAAATGCAAAGTGTTACTCTTTGATTGGCTGTTTACATGTACGAGCATATTTTGTTTATGGTCACTGCAGCTTTAAGAATACTAAGCAGTATATCTTTAGTTCGTACAAATGAAAAATGGATTTTAGATACCTTGTTTCTAATGCCCTCTTCCTTAACCACGGAGAGATTTGAGTGTATGCGTTGTTATTTCACACTAACAGAAGTCTTTCGTTCTTACGGAATTCTTTCTGAAAGTTTCAAAAAGAGCCCAACTACGTAGTCTTTGGGGAGGACTTACATAGGCCTGCATTTTGTCCAATCAAATTATTATTGAACAATGAAATTTGTCCAAATGAAATGAATTCTTTCTTCATAGAAATATCACCTTCTTACTTATATAGGTTTGCATTTTATCCAATCTTATTACTATTGAACAATATATTTTTTTTTTAAATGAAATGAATTCTTTCTTCACATAAATATTACCTTTTTATATTGTAGGTGTCAATAGTTTCGTTTCTACGATATTAGCAGCTGTAAAACATTTACAGTGTACATATGGAAAAAATCTATAATATGCCATTTCATAACGTACAATTTCATACTCTTGAAATTATATTGATTTAATAAATATAAATCAACAGGTGACTTTTCGCCAAAAAATATTCAGAGAGTGTCCCTGTCATGTCAAGACAGTGTCTTTGTCATATCCAGATAGTAACCCTGTCATATAAGGACATGCAGTGTATTTGCCTTATTTAGACAGTTTTTCTGTCATATTCAGAAAATATATTTGTCATATTCAGGCGGTGTATCTGTCATATCCCGATAGTGTGCCTGTCATATTCAGGCAGTATCTCGGTCATATCCAGACGGTGTATCTGTCACATAGACAGCACCTCTGTCATATCCAGACGGTGTATCTGTCATAAAGACAGTACCTCTGTCATATCCAGATGGTGTATCTGTCATATAGAGAGCACCTCTGTCATATCAAGATGATATATCTGTCATAAAGACAGTACCTCTGTCATATCCAGACGGTGTATCTGTCATAAAAACAGAACATCTGTCATATCCAGACGGGGTATCTGTCATAAAAACAGAACATCTGTCATATCCAGACGGTGTATCTGTCATAAAGACAGCACCTCTGTCATATCCAGACGATGTATCTGTCATAAAAACAGAACATCTGTCATATCCAGACGGGGTATCTGTCATAAAAACAGAACATCTGTCATATCCAGACGATGTATCTGTCATAAAGACAGTCCCTCTGTCATATCCAGATGGTGTATCTGTCATATAGACAGCATCTCTGTAATATCCAGACGGTGTATCTGTCATATAGACAGCACCTCTGTCATATCCAGATGGTGTATCTGTCATATAGACAGCATCTCTGGAATATCCAGACGGTGTATCTGTCATATAGACAGCACCTCTGTCATATCCAGATGGTATATCTGTCATAAAGACAGTACCTCTGTCATATCCCGATGGTATATCTGTCATAAAAACAGAACATCTGTCATATCCAGATGGTGTATCTGTCATATAGACAGCATCTCTGTAATATCCAGACGGTGTATCTGTGATATAGACAGCACCTCTGTCATATCCAGACGGTGTATCTGTCATATAAACAGCACCTCTGTCATATCCAGATGGTGTATCTGTCATATAGACAGCACCTCTGTCATATCCAGACGATGTATCTGTCATAAAGACAGTACCTCTGTCATATCACGATGGTATATCTGTCATAAAAACAGAACATCTGTCATATCCAGACGGTGTATCTGTCATAAAAACAGTACCTCTGTCATATCAAGATGGTATATCTGTCATAAAAACAGAACATTTGTCATATCCAGACGGTGTATCTGTCATAAAAACAGAACATCTGTCATATCCAGACGGTGTATTTGTCATAAAAACAGAACATCTGCCATATCCAGACGGTGTATCTGTCGTAAAAACAGAACATCTGTCATACCCAGACGGTGTATCTGTCATATAGACAGCATCTCTGTAATATCCAGACGGTGTATCTGTCGTAAAAACAGAACATCTGTCATACCCAGACGGTGTATCTGTCATAAAAGCAGAACATCTGTCATATCCAGATGGTGTATCTGTCATAAAGACAGTACCTCTGTCATATCAAGATGGTATATCTGTCATAGAAACAGAACATTTGTCATATCCAGACGGTGTATCTCTCATAAAAACAGAACATCTGTTATATCCAGACGGTGTATCTGTGATAAAAACAGAACATCTGTCATATCCAGACGGTGTATCTGTCATATCAAGTGTATCTTTAATCCAGACAGTGTATCTGTAATCTGTAGACAGTATCTCTGTCAAATTCAGCTAATGTATCTGTCTTATTTAGACAGTTTCT